CTCCAGGTTGAGCTGTTGTTCAGCATCTTAGCTGTGGAGGGCAGTGTCACTGGCCCTCATATGTGGGATCTGAACCAGGGCCCTCTGGTGTCCCAAGCCAGTTCTTAACCATCGCGCCACTTGGCTGGCCCCAGGGATTGCTTCTTTTAATGAAACTTTGGCAGTGTTGTGAGCAAGAAGAATTCCTTTTCTGGAGTTCTTCTTGTAGAATCATAGAATTGGTAGAGATTTTAGAGATAATCTAGTGTACTTTTTCACACAATACAGTGATTTCTCCAGCCCTCTATGCAAGTTTCCCCAAGATAGGGACTTCACAGCTGGTGGCTGTTAATTCCAGATTTGCGAATTTGTTATTTTAGAAACACTTCCCTGATAATGATCTCATACCTGCCTCCCTGCAGTTTTTGTTCACTGGTTCTAATTTTGCTGTCTACAGTTAATCTCCACTCCACAGCTATTCAATGACAGTTTTCTGTCCCAACTAAGGTTTTTCTCTTCCAGACTAAACAGATTTTTTTCTCCTAGCCACCTCTTATGAAATGTGCTTTCCAAACCTTTTACTATGTTGGGCATCCTCCTGTAGACATGGTACCGTTTGTCAGATATGGTCTGATTCAGCTACTGTGTGAGGCCCTGGAAGTGAAGTGATTAGGAATTCAAAATGATCCCTGCCCTTGGGGAGCTTACCACATAGTCAGTTTCTATCAGTGCTGCTTTAGAATAAATTAGATTCTTTTTCTTTTAATATTTACCTTTCAGTGTTAGTTTATACTTGTCCTGTATAAGCTCACCTCTAGGTCTTCTGTCTAGAAATGCCATTAACCCAAGTCTTTTTTTTTTTTCTTGAAATCTGATTTATTTACTTTTTTTTTTGACATTTTGAACCTTTTATTATGAAAAATTTCAATACAAAAATAGAGAGAAGAGAATAAAGAATCTCCGTTGTTCAGGTTCAGTGATCAACTCATGAATAATCTTGTTTAATCTATATCCTCCTATTGTCCTTATTTCTTAGTAGCAAATCCCAGACTTTATATGGTTTCATCTATAAATATTTCAATGTATATTTCTAAAACATAGGGACTTTTTATTTCTTTTTTTTCAGTACTTAATTATTTAAAAAAAATCAATTTCAGGTGTATGGAAGAACATGGTGATCAGACATTTACATAACTCACAAAGTGATCACCCCAACAAGTCTACTACCCACCCGATACTGTACATAGTTATTAGAATGTTATTGGCTATATTCTTCATGCTGCACTACACATCCCCGTGACTATTTTTTAAAATTATAGTTGACATTCAATATTATTTTATGTTAGTTTCAGGTGTATAACATAGTGGTTAGACATTTATGTAATTTATGAAATGATTTCCCCCAATAAGTCTACTACCCATCTGACACCATACATAGTTTTTACAATACTGTTGATTGTATTCCCCATACTGTAATTTATATCCCTGTGGCTCCCCTGTAACTATCAATCTCTACTTTTTAATCCCTTCACTTTTCTCACCCAGCCCCCCAACCTCCCTCTCATCTAGTAACCATCAGTTCTCTGTGTCTATGGGTCTGTTTCTGTTTTGTTTGTTCGTTTATTTTGTTCTTTAGATTCCACGTATAAGTGAGATCATGTAATTGTCTTTCTTAGTCTGAGTCTCATTTCACTAAGCATAATAACCTCTAGATGCATTCGTGTTGTCACAAGGTCTTTGTCTTTGATTGGTTGGCTTTCTGAACCTGTGTGGTAGACTGTTTTACACTCCTATTTTCTTTCTGTCCGTTATTCCAAAGGGAACTTCTGGAATCCTGATTCTATTATTTTTGTTATTTTTATCACATCTATAACTTTGATATGTTTATTCTATATTTGTACTTAAATGGGTTAAGAAAATATTTACCTAGAGTGTGCCAAGATCAGATCTTAGTAGTATGCAATTAGAGACAAAACTTTATGGTTTATTTTCTCCTCACTTCTGACTTTTATTACTGTAGTATTTCCAAGAGATTTTGGTTCTGATTTTCTGCTATAGTTTGTGTGCAAAATTATAATTAAAATATTTTACCTCTTGCAACTCTGAAGGCACAGCTAGTTGTTTTCTAGTGGCATTGATTACTGGTTGAAGTTAGGTTATATGATTCTTTATTATGACTAAGTATAGATTCTCACTTAGAAATGATTCACACATAATAGTATGGCATCTGCCCCTTTATCCTCCCTTACCCCCACCCCCACCACACACACATGTTGAGACTGCTGTGGAAGAACTTAAAGCTTTTAGAGAAGATGTATGTTCTAAAGAAGGAAAAATAAAAAAATTTAGGG